CACATAAATAAGAATGACCGCAATCTTATGTCATTTGTATACTATGAACTACGGAAAACCTTTGAATGACATTCACTTTTCGACAGGCAATTACAAACTATTTCGATTCAGATTTCCGGATTTGTTGGCGGCTTTTCACAGATATGAAATGTTGACAGTGGTTTTACTTTAAGCAAATAATAAAACATTGGAGACATAAGAAAGAAGGTTGAAAAATCGTCGAATCGCCATTGCAGTAGTGACCGAAAACGTTGGCTCCTGAGTTGACAAATGCATTGAAATTTCGGATATGAAATATGTGCTAACGAAGTCTTCTTCCCCAAAGTTATAGGTGAAGCTGCTTCGTGTGTTATTTGCATAATTATTTGCAAAGCAAAAAAATGGAAAGCAAAGGACATTTGTATTGAAATTCGGGGAAAAACGTGAATTCTTTGAATTCATTTGATACAACTTTTGAGTGAGCCAGTCAACAACGAAAATTAATTGTAAATCTAAATTTTTTTCATTAGTTATGCAGTGCACCAAAGGTGTTATAGATAAAAATCCTAAAATTACAGCCCTAGAAATTCGTAATACCTTGTAATATGAACACATTAATATTGTATGTGCATTCCGAAATAGTTCAAAACGTTTTTAGAAAAAGCGGGTTTATGCACGATGTGTGCGATGTTTGCACAAAATTATTAATATAATAGATTGATATACTTATATTTTGAATTCAATCTAAGAATATACCGAAAGATTCATATTCTAGATATCTGAAAAACTATGTGATCAACTGTTTTTACTTGATCGTCAACTTGCCCCACGTCTTGAATGGAAAAATTGTTATCAAGACGAAGTTTAAGTTCGAATAGTGAGAGTGTGGTAGTAGAAAAGTGTGATTGTATTTCAACTTGAAAGCAATTTCTTGATCGTTTAACGTCGGGGTTAAGTAGGAATCTCCATCATTCTAAAGAAAATTGCGTGCAATTCTCAAGACTGCGACTAGAATAAAAATGGCGAATCGAATAAACACCAGTGTAAATCAAATAGACGGGAATAATTAAACAGAGATAAAGCAGGAAGACGTTATATCAATTCAATGAAGTGCCCATGTACTTTGTTGCCATTGAATTCAAATGCATTTTGCTTAGATATACTGTGTTGTTGCTTTCACATGTAAATTTCAAACACACGAGCAGATAAATGGCGAGTTGTAAACGGAAAATGATACGAAAAACTAATCTTTATTAAAAAAAAAACTCTATAAAATACCATCTTTTTTATAAAATTTCAGGATTATGTTGAGATTGAGACTATAGGATTTTAAATGATACGTATGGTAACCATGAAAGTCGTTATAATTAACTTAAACTTCATCTTAACTACATTTTAGGATTATTTTATAGAAGGATTAGCTAACTACACATATGTGCTTAAATATGTATGTATGTATGTACTTGTATATGATGTTACGTGCAATTTAGTTTTGATTCTAAGAATTTCAGTTTTTTGCAGCTTAGATCGCAATTTATTGTTATTTACAAATGGTTACCAGTTTTAGTTGAACTATCTAATTCCGTTATAAAATTTAATTGTGTGATACGAGTATAAATATAAATATATACAAAAGTTTGTAGCAGATACTCGTAGATAATAGGCCTGTTTTATTTAACCAGCACGTTAAGCATCAACTTATTTTGTATGGAAGACTTAGCCAATGCAATTATATTGGCTTATCAAAAGTTATCTTAGCTTGTATGTTGAACTAGAGACATTGCCAGTTGATTATTTTTTTCGTTGACAATAGTTGGATTTTTGAAAAAAAAGTCGTTGGAAATACCGATAAACCTTACTTTGACAGATGAAAATGTAAACAAACCAAAATTACAGATTCTTGTAGATGGGATTTCATAATTTTGACAATTAAAACTTTTGTTTTCAGTTTTTTGTAACCTTGAATTCACATAAACAAAATCAATACATTTGTTAGGTATTTTAATAATTCGTTTACAAATTTAAAAATGCAAACTAGTCTTCTCTTCACGTTAGACATTTTGAAATTAACTGAATATCAGCTGACTGTTCTTGATCGCATTGCCAACACAATTCGAAAATATGAAATAAGCTAAGTGCGTTTTATTCGTCAACGATTTAGCTATTAGCTTATAACGGTCAAATAAAACACGTCTAATGAATAGAATGTCAAGGGAGTGATGCAAATTCAGTGGAAGTGCATCGAGCGTCGGCGCTAGTTTTTGACACATTTTCTATTAAATTATTTTATTAAATATTATAAATATTATTAAAGTGCAAACTTGTGATCTCGTTATAATTCGCACTTAAAATAACAAGTAATATAAAATTAATTTTATATATCATATATAACACAATGTGACAAAATTAAAAAGAAAATAATCATAATTTACACTACTTATTCATACATACATATGTATGTCATATCAATTAACTAAAAAATAAATCAATTCAAAACCCTAATCATGAAATTTTGTCATCATTCTCATTGATTTGTGACACTGTGCATTGTCATTGTACTTCTAACTTATAACAGCCACTCGAAAACCAGATACTCAATAAAAATTAGACCATGCACATATAATATTAACTTATTGACACCATTACTTAACACATGAAGATCATGTTCCTTTAATATCTTTAGAGCGGCTATATTGATTAACTTAATCCGACTTAAGTCACCGAAAACAAATTGCGTTTTTTCATTACGGATCTTTTGGACGTCTTCCAAAGAAATGAAATTTTAGTAAAATGATTTCATTAAATATCAGTGGGCTATGCTCAAAACAGTAAACAAATGGACAAGCCGAAATTTTGGAGAAGTCGACTTCTACATGACACAACTGCTATCACGTCACGGATACTTCAAAAAGTACCTTCACAGAATGGGGAAAGTCGAAGAGCCGTCTTGCCCATACAACGACGCGAGAGAAGACGACGCTGAACACACATTCTTTGTATGTGCACGATGGCAATGGGAACGCAGCGCCGTAGAAGACCGGGTTGGACCAATAAACACGGACAACTTAATTAGCGTCATGCTGGAGAGCGAAATCAACTGGGGGATCATCCAGAAATTCGCAGCAATTTTACTACGCAGCAAAAAGCGGGACCTGGACACAGGTGCGCAGATGTAAATCTCTCAATGAGAAAAATGGAACGCCACTCTGAAGTAATGCAAACGCGGTCCCAGGGTGGGCCACGGTTCCTTAGAGGGGGGGTTTTTAGTGACCTGCCAGCGGCACCGCTGTTGTTACGACTTCTATCCCCTCCCCCGCAAAAAAAAAAAAATGCTCAAAACATACATATGTTATGTTTACAAAAATAACAGTTAAAAATTAAAAAAGTGGTGGGTTTTCTAAAGAAGTACCATTCAAATTAAATTAATTTTGTTTTGGGATACTACTATACGAGAATAGACGAATACTACTGTGCATTTATATAAATGAATATATATATAATTAACAGTTAAACTACAAAACGCTTAACATCGTTAATTAAAATAATACAGTCATGTACCATAATACTTAATCCAATACAACATCTCTAGAATATTGTCCTAAATTCTCAAGTTGATCCGAGAAATAGTTTTGGAGACACAGTATTGAAAAGTTGCGCGCGGGTTCAACTATATAGTCACTTATAACTTTAAGCGCGTTTTTCTCGAAACTGAGTTTTCTAAGTCGGTTGTCAAGTTTTCTCGCGAGCTACTCAACCAATCTTAAGGAAATTTTACACGGGTATTCGAGATATAATTTACAAGGTCTTGAACGAAGGATTCTTTTTTTTGCTCAAATACAACTATTTAAAAAACAAAAAGATCGAGAAATTTTCACCAAACTTTTCTTTTGTTTTTCCTTCGTCTAATACCTAGTATATGGTTTAAATTTTTGATGATCATGTAAGAAGTTCTGCTGTCAACGCAGAGGCTCCTTTTTTCCGAGGGACTGCCGCAAATGATGTCGTAATGGTCGAGTTTTGAATATTTCCTTTGAAAATTTCACAAAATATGAATCTTTGGAATAACAAAAAGTTTGAATAAAATATCTGAAAAAAAAACTATTGAAAATAGGTTTAATTGAGTGGTCTTAAGAGTAATACGTAGTAATAGAATAATTAAGGACACCACGGACGGTTACTTTAACCAAACCTGAATTAATAGTGAATTTTTATACCGCTACGTTAATCGGAAAACACAATTTTAAGTAAATTGCTACTGCAATTAGATTTTTTCCATCTCACCCTGCTATTAATATGAACATAACTGTATGTACATATGTATGGACCAAACATGGAGTTCAATTTTACAAAGTAGCGTTAAGGTTTAAGATATATGTATAATGTCAATAAAAAATGCAACCAAGAGATGTTTAAACAAACAAAATATTCTTTGGTGTCCACTGACCACTCATGAACTTTACTGCTTTTTAAATCATCTATTTTATATATTCAACTAATATGGGCTTATTGTACGGCAGAACGATGGAGCTGTATAGAGAATTCCACTTAAGCCCAAAACTTTTTTCAGTTAGCCGCCGACGTACTTTGTTTACCAAACAATGAGAGAATGTTCACCTCAACCCTATCGCTGCTGGCACGCGAATAAACGGGGGCCAACCAAATACTTGCAATCGCAAACGATAACCTCGTCTTGCTGTTCGAGTGCTGAAATTACAAGAAAGCAGATAAGCCTGCAAGTCTTTCAGAATGACTTTTAATTTGCGTTGGCAGCGAGACATACATACATATACATGTATAATGTAAGCGACGATCCTACCAGCGCTAATCGGACGCAGTACTAGTGCTATACTACGCTCCGTACTATTGCTGATAACAAATACTCATAGTTTATTACGTTGGGATTCCGCTTGACCAATTTTACGTGTCTTTACTCTTTTTTAATATTCCTTTGTGACGATCGTGACAGCACTAATATCGATAAAAGTTGACGACACCACTCCAAAACGTTGTTATGGTGTGGATCCCATAATCTCAAAGTACGGTGCAGTGTCGTGAGAGTGTCAGCTACCTCTTCTGTTAAATAGGTCTCTATGATCATCGCATAGCCCATCACTGCTAAACAAGCGTTTAGGTAGTTGAGCGCGCTAATGATCGAGCAATGGTGGAGGCAGCGGCTCACCGAGGCATTTGAATGTCGCTTTAACGCTTAGCTATGCGACATTTGTGCTTTAGTCGGCTAGCGTAACTGCTTCAAATCGGACCGTCTGACTTTAAACGGATATTTCGTCGGTTAAACCATTCAGTACAACACGTCGTATCGCAGCACATATTTCAGTGTTGTCGGTAGTGAAAGTATTCGAACGAACTGTATGATTGTTGGGCTCATGTGCTCGTAGTAAATGTGTCAAACTTGAACTTCAAAATTGCTGAAAACAGCTGTTCGATTGTAGCTTTCAGCTTACTTTAGTGGAAAACAAGTTTTCGAATTTTTCAACTCTGATCGCTACTGTCGTGACCGTACCACGTCTAAAGTATGTATGTATAATTGGTGTCGTGAACTACTAGTGCTTTATTTTTACTTCTCTGTTGTCGTATTATTTTTATACACTGAACAGGGTGTATTAAGTTTGCCACGAAGTTTGTAACACCCAGAAGGAAACGGCGGAGACCATATAAAGTATATATGTATATAAATGATCACGTTGAGGAGCTGAGTTGATTTAGCCATGTCCGTCCGTTCGTCCGTCCGTCTGTATGTACGCGAACTAGTCCTTCAGTTTTGAGATATCGATCTGAAATTGTGAACAAGTCTTTTTCTTACCAAGAAGCTGCTCATTTGTCGGAACGGCCGATATCGGACCACTATAGCATATAGCTGCCATACAAATTGAACGTTCGGAATCAAGTTCTTGTAAGGGGCCTTTGTATTTGTGAAGGGTATAATAGCTTCGGCGCAATCGAAGTTAACGTTTTTTCGTGTTTTTTTAATATTTGAAGCTGGTGCCTTAAAGCTGCTTGGCCAGTTTTAAATGTTCCGAATTGGCTTCAATTCCATCACACGTGCAACACAATTCACTTTTATTCATCGTTTTACCAGATATATTTACAAACATTTATATACTATTATTTTATTATATATATACTTATGTTTATAAAAACAATACTGAACTTGTCGAGGAGGTACGTATATCCGCAACGACCCAAACGTCTGAGAAACTTTTCCAACTGTATTCCAATGATTCATGTAGTCTTGAGGTTGATATTAGCTACTTAAACATAACCAAACCTTGTGATTTTACCAAATACGATATTGTTGCTATAATAGTTGATTATACCGCTATCCGTATTCACAGCGACAAGTGATCTTTTATTCAAGGAATTTGATTATGGTGATCGTCCTTTGATTTGGATAATTCAGTTTAATTTTCATGAAATACTTAAATCTACTCTTAAAAATTACAACCAAGCACTTAGATTCCTCGGTCCCCGTAGCCGAACGATTCGGTGGGCTTGTGGTTTCAATCACTCCGAAATGTTAAAATGTTTTGAAGACGCCGCCCATGAATAGCAGGCTGTCGGAATAAAGAATCTACAAATAGAGCGAGATGCTCGGTCAAATGTTCAACAAAGGTGTGTACCTGTATACATGTATAGACAGCCGTCTATATACCTATATGCATTTTCATGGACATATTTATTATTCGAGCTTGTGGATACACGATACATACTCTTCGCTCTTATTAAGTGCTATTAAAGTTTGATATAAGGCTTCATGGTAATTATTTTGTTAGAAAGAAAATTAAAATACTAAAATATCCTTCAGATCCGTTGATTTATACTCCAAAGTAAAATTATTATTATAAAAACCAAATTATTGACGAGTATTTTGCTTATATAATTTGAGTGTTTTGACGTCAATACAATTTTATACTTAAGAAAGTCGTTTAGATTGATAACAGCTGCTTATATGTATGTAGAATACAATAATATGAACACCAAAGTGTTTAATAGCTAAAAATAGTGATAATGATATCTTCATAATCGGAGTTATTGAAAATATTTTTAATATTTATTTCATTTACAAATAAATTCCCTATGCAAAATTTTAAAGATATGTTTAAGAAACCAATGTAAACTTCAGGGTATAAACAAAATGCCTTAAAATTCGAAACTGGACCCCAAATTCTGGACTGGGTTCTGCAATTCTCGTTACTAATTAATTTCCACCAGCCAGACTAAATTAAACCAAGATTTGGCATACTTCTGAGCTAACTTACCCTTAAAATCTAACAATGTTGCTGTAGTAAGTGACCTAAACGGATAAATTAAACCATTTTTATACCCTGAACAGGATATATTAAGTTTGCCACAAAGTTCGTCCAGAAAGATCAATCAAGAATAATGAGCATGACTAGCTGGGTGATTTAGCCATGTCCGTCTGTCTGTACCATATACGCGAACCACTATAGCATATTCATACTTAGCTGTCATACAAACTGAACGATCTTCAAAATTTGGCATGGTTTATTGTCTAAGGCAACGGTGCAATCTCCGAAGACATTTTTCAGATCGAATTACTATAGCATAAAGCTGCAATATAAACTGAACGACCAAAATAATGACCTTGTAAAAAATATTTTATATTTGTGAAATGTATTATAGCTTCAGAGCAACCGAAGTTAACGTGTTTTCTTGTTGCTAGTGAAATTTAGTATTGTTTAATGCTAACTTGCCCTATCCCTCTGGTATTTCGATATCTTATATCGATGTTTTCAGAGGGAGCTTGTATTAATGTCAACATAATTAGTAACAAGTGTCAAAGTTCTTTTTTTGGTTTGGTAACAGCTCTTAAAGTATTGACTTAGGTCACCATAAAGCTTCAACTTATCTAGAGCTCATCTTAACCGGACACTATCTTTGTTTGCATCCTGTTCTCATTCGTAAACTAAAAGAAGTTTCGTATTTATATCAGTTTCAATTTATATCCCTATCATTAATATGCAATTATTTACAATATAAATACAATATATGTAAATAGATATACCATATAAGTATGCATTAATAGTGAATTAAAACAGTTTTTTTATAAAACCCACTTCTAATCGAGACAATTTTTTAATAATGTTATTCGAAATTAGCATTTAGCCGCAAGTAAGGAAGTAACATAAATGAGTTAATTAACGTTTTTGATTAATGTTCCAGCCTCTTAATGGAAAAGTAGAATTGATTTAAATCGGTTTATGTTTAATAAATGCATTATGAATATAATTTATAGAAACAGGTGTACCGATGAATATGAAACAGATGTAAATACGGTGTTATTTATTAGGATTTATTTTAAGGCCGATTCAGAAGGAGATCGTTGCGGCCGCATTGGCGAAACTTTCAGTTGCAAATAGATGCTGACCAACTTCAGGATTATGACACACATAAAGCGTTTGGCCTTCTTTAAACGACGAATCTAATCTAACCCTGAAGAAAGCTATGATTCCAATTGTTGGTCGCTTGAACTAAAAGTCTACATTTCTGTATTGAATAAGATAAGAGTACAAGCGTGGACGTCAAAACTTTTATCAAACTTTATTGATTTACTCTGGAGGTACTCGTAACTTGAAATTGTAGATAATGAAGTCTACTAAGTAGTGTGCCAAAATAGCTCCATTCGAGTCTGTGCAAATTTTCTAATTGTATGTTGTTCTGTTTTGATAACAATAATATTTACTTATGTATAAACTAATAACGTCTACAAATTTAATGCAAAAGTACTTACGCATAATCACAGATAAAACAATCTTATGTCAACAGGGTTCTAACTACACTTATATGTATATTTACAGCTGACTAACTGTTTTATATTTCCCATGTAAATATTTGCATTTAATATGCGCATTCACTTAGTCGCTGGAGTAACAAAGTGCAAACTTATAAATGTGTAGACTATTATAGCTCAGATAATTTGACCTCTATCAACGTTACATTCTGAAGTGCTGATAACAAACATTGAGATTGGTGAATGCAAGTTTTTGCCTCGCTTGCATTGACTGCGTTCACACGAGGACTTTTTTGTCACCCAAATCGGTTTTTTATGTCTGGCAGGGGACGACGAGGAAATGCGAAAGGGCCATATCGCTCGTGCTCGGTTGGCAAGCTTTGTGTTCTTATTCGTAGCAGTTTGCTGTTTCGCAATGCGGCATTCTTACTATAATAGAAATAATAATTAGTTAATCAAATATATCAAAAATATTTTTGTCTACCGCGCACATGAAGCGTACAAGAATTTGAGAAATTCCCCTATGAAAGGGAATGCAAAAAATTGTCGGACTCAAGTTTCCGAACTCGTGTCGCAGTTTGCCTCGTGTGAACACAGTCTTTTTAGGCAAGTGTCGCCCAACACTGATTTGAAGAGCATGTGAGAATTGTTGTATGAGTGTTTTGATTTTATTGAACGGAAATTATGCGCAACGTGGAGTGAGCCCCGAACTGATTACTACAAAGGAATAAATAAATAATTGTGGCAAGTATCACTTGGAAGAAATTCACTTTAATTATATGTTATTTGAGTATTAATACAAAAGCTCGTATTTTATTGTTAATTATATTAGTATTTAAATTAAATTTAGATTGAAAATAAATTTTAATTAATTATTACAAAGGTTAAAAACTTGCCCGTTGGTATCTGTGCACATTTCAACAATTTTAACAAAAACAGCTTATCCTTAGCAAACAACTATAAACATATGTTTTTGATGTTATATCTAAAATCGGAATACTAAAAGAACACTCGACAATGAAGAATATTCTAAAATCCTTTTTTTTTTTGCTTTCTAAAACAGCTTTAATCTAAAGAATATACCTATTCATTGTTCGTAAATCTTTTTTAATAATAATCTATTGTAGTTTTAAATATTTAAATATTGCTATCAAATAAAATCCGTACTGTATTGGCGATAGCTCTAAAACCCTAAACACAATGATATCACTGTGAATTTGTCAATTCAAATTTGATTGTGGATATAAATATTTTCTGTTAAATATTAAACTTATATTTATAATGTTTTCCTTTTTGTTTTATTAAATAATCTTAATTAGCTGTCTTTCGGTGTTTGTATTCCCACAACCATCCTTTCTCTAGATCACTGTGTACTCAATCTTTCAAACAATGCACAATGTATGAACTGTAAATAACGCTAGGCAGTCCAATGTTTACTGAATCAATTAAAGCGACATGCTGATAAATTATCATATCGCTCCAATATTGACCGCTGCTCCGCATCATTGCGCGCAACGCGCTGGTGTGGTGGTGTACAACATTTTGATTAATGGTGATTGATTTTAAATTAATTGTTTATTACACAATATTTACATTGCATATGCAGCTGTTCGACCACTTGCTACGGAGCAAACTTTGCAGATAACGGGAAATAACACTGAATGAAAAATGAGGTACAAAAGAGGAAAAATACAAACATTTGTATTCAATAAAGCCTTTATCCCTCCGCAGAGTGATAGCAGTAACGTTTTGGCAAATTTCGATTTCATTTAAATAATATTAAGCTAATATATTAATATAATATCTATATCGACTCTTCTGATCCGGTCGGCTTTCGCTATAAAAATTTAATTTGTACCCTATATCTCAAACTATTTACTGAGAGACTAGTTTGCGTTCTCTCTACCGAATTGGTTATGTATGTATACTTAGATCAACTCTGTTCATATTTCAGATGTAACTGGTCTATCTCTGATTTGATTAAAGTTTTAAAAGTTGTTTTCCTTTCCTTTTATACAAAATGTAATATTATACTTATGAGCATGCATATAGACACACTTTGTAACGAACTCTCCCAGGTGACCAGAAATATGTCTATTACTCAAGATATCTCAGTTTTTACGGAAGTTTTCCGTTGCTTGATCAATCGGACGGATTGCCATCCTGTTCAACTATGCAAGTGAATCCCATATCTGTTCTGATGTACTTATCCAACATACAGTACATATTACAAACTACCAGTATACTGTTGAGCAACATGTTACATAAGTGTATAAAATAAATAAAATACAGCCAGTTATTTTCAGTGGCGTTCAAAACACTTTATTTATTTTTTGAGAAAGGTTGAAATCGTATGAACTAATGAATTAAAATACTGATTCGCACATGTAGTCTTTCAAGTCGAATTGTGCAGTATCAAATAACCTATAGCCCTCATAAAACCATATTTAGATTGTTATCGAAAGTCCTATATACATACATACCAAAATGCATAAATATGTACATATATATGTATGTATATATGCCAGGGTGATCCAATAAATACTGAGTCTACAAAAGCAAAAGCCAATATTTGGAGTTCGATACACGATTGACTTTACAACAACTTTTTGCAGCTTGCAATATTCGCAAACGGTTGTACCAATTTCATTGAAATTCCGGCTGAAGGACCTAGATTAGGCTTTCTTGCTTACAACAAATATTTTTAAAAATTCTAGTGCTTTGAAAATCATATTGAAACTTCTGTTGCTACCATTAACTCATGTGAAATATATGTATATATTGTATATATATTAGGCTGATTCAAAAAAACAAATTTCATTTTTTTTTTCGAAATCCTAACGTAAAAACTTTCCTGGAGATGTAAAAAGACGCCTATTAATATTAAAAAATCGCGCATCGCAAATGTCTATTTTCCATATAAATAACACGGAACAAATTTTTCTTTAATTTTGGAATTTTGCAACTCTGAACCGGTTTAACGGATTGTTGAACCAAATTATATTCTAATAGGAAATTATAGGAACGCTCTACAAACAAGTCTTTAGGAAATTTTTGATTATCTTAACCACTTAGGAGATATTCGAGGTCAAACTTAAAATTACAAAAAAATCACAGTGACATACATATGTATGTGTAAGCTGATAGGACCATTAGCGATATTACCTGTTTAGATGAGATTCCCTTGAGTGCTGCTTGACTATCCCTCCGTACGAAATTCACGTTTGATAGTTACGCGGAAGATTAATCTCCGAATACAGACCAACTACTAATTTGAAAATATTACAATTTGTATATAATGCACAATATTTTTTGATGAAAAGTTACTCAGTGCTTATGTGCCGAGATTTCAGTTTTGATTGGTCACAGAATTGAACCACTTTTATAATATTTAATAATCATTTGCTTATTGTATTTTTATCTTTTTTTTTTAAGGCAGCACAACAGTATGACCCAACACAATCCCACAAAATCAGAAGAACTGGAATCTCTGACAACGAAAAATGGCAGAACAGCGCAAATTGTTTCAGGCCTTAATAGGCCGGCAGAAAAAGTACCGCTGGGCGAACAGAGTCGTGCAGTACGACGTCAAGAATTAATGGTAATACTTGGTAATATTGGATTGCTCTCTACCGGAATGGCGCTGAGTTTGCCAACAGTCACTTTGCGACAGTTGACGGACCCCAATGAGGCTGTTCATCTTAGCGAGTCACAGGCCTCATGGTTCGGTAAATGTATTCGAATGAATTGAATATAAAAACAATTTGATTTGTTTTGCTTTTTTTTCATTCTTTAGCTTCCATCAACACACTTTCATGCCCACTCGGTGGTCTACTGTCTGGCTTTTTACTGGATAAAATGGGTCGCAAAAACACACTCTATGTGTTAAATGGCATTGCGCTTGCATCATGGGCTCTGATGGCTTTAGCGGTGGAAAGTAACGCCAATACTGTTTTTATACAGCTGATGATGTCGCGATTTTGTATTGGTGAGTAGAAGTGACCACATATGTACGTACATATGTACATTCGAATCATCCAGCTGCAAACTGAGAACTAAATGATTTCGGTTATGGAAATGAGTGTCTATAATAGACAAGTAACAATAATTTACATTATGATCATTGAAAAAATAGTAATAGATAACATTGTAGACAATTGGTTTTCACTATTAACTTTTTTCTAAAGACTTTTCACACTAGTTTGTGTTTTGTTTGATTATAAATAAGTATATGCCCCTAATATAGACACTAAATTTAAAGTTTTAAATGTCTTCTTTTCCAGGTATTGCTATGGGAATAGCCAGCGCTCCAGTTGGTGTCTACTCCGCCGAAATAAGTTTACCGCGCATACGTGGACGACTCATTCTTGGCACATCGGTATCAATTGCTTCGGGTATTCTAGTGATGTACATAATGGGATATTTTATTCGGAATGACTGGCAGTTAATTTCAATGATTTGCTGTGCCTATCAAATAGCAGCGATGCTTTGTGTTATTCCAATGCCGGAATCGCCCAGTTGGCTAGTGTCTAAGGGACGTTTTGAGGAAGCGAAGAGAGCGCTTAATTATTTTCGTGGCTTGGAAAAATCAGGTAAACGTTAGAAAAACACATATGCTAATGTTCTACAGCTGTACTTCGAGAAAATTATAGAACGGCAAAATTTTATACGTTTTGGGTAATGCAGGTATTGACACTTGTAAGGAAAAAACAAGCTTGGAGCTTCCATATTAGGTTGCATTTCATATATCCCTAGAAATTTTGTTAATAAAAGTACCTTAATCACTTTAATTTCATTGTTTTCTGCCCCCAAATTCCAGACGAAATCACTCATCCTGAAGTACTTGCCGAATATAACTTACTGCAGAAATCTATACAATTGGGCGAAGGTGTTAAGAAACCACCATTTTTGAAAAGCATACGCGAACCAGAGGTCTACAAGCCACTTCTAATTCTCATGGGTATGTTCGCTTTCCAACAGTTAACAGGCATCTTTGTTGTAGTCGTTTACGCTGTACAAATCTCACAAGAGGCTGGCGTCACTATAGACCCATTCATGTCTGCTATCATGATCGGTGTTGGACGAGTCGCAACCACAGTATTGCTGGGAATCATTTTAGAGAAATGGGGACGTCGTCGTTCGGGTCTTGTGTCGGCACTTGGTATGTGCATATGCATGTTCGTATTGGCTGGCTATAGATGGAGTTCATGGCTACAACTAATACCATATTTGCCGATCATTGCAATTATTGCCTTCATCATCTTAAGCACATTCGGGCTCTACACGTTACCATTCTTCATGATATCTGAGCTCTTCCCGCAGAAAGTACGCGGAGCAGCTTCGGGCTTGACAGTGGCGGTGGGCATGTGCTTCGCCTTTATCTGCATTAAAACATATCCGGCGATGAAGAATGCATTAGATAATGACTATTGCTTTGTTATTTACGGTATTATGGCATTCATAGCGGCGGTTTATGTATACGCGGTGCTGCCGGAGACACGTGGACGGACACTGCTCGCCATTGAAGACCAGTTCCGTACTGGCGTGAAATCGCAACGTTATCAAGCCGCTCCAGTAGAAATGCAGGAAGTGTCCGTCAAATGAGCCAATTGTGTGTAGAGAAAGAGAACTAATTAATTACTTGTTCTACGTTTAATTTAATTAGGAAGTGAAAGTGGAGTTTTAATAATGCTACCAATAAGTAGATTAACAGTTAACTCAAAAAAATTTGCATTTAATATTGGGCGCAAACAAAAAGAAAAAACTTTTCGAAAAGAATAAAATTAATGTAAAACTTAAACTGTGATAGGTTCATTCGCTGGTAGAAGATTTTATTACAGTTAGTGGTTTAAATTTTAATACTTACAACTATGCTGAAATAAATTTAGAATATAATAAAAACAAAACAATAATAATTGTTGCTTATTTGATGGATCGAAGCTTAGGGGGCAAAGTGGGTGGGGGGGTCACCTGTCGTGAGTTCACCATCATCTCGAGCTTCAGGAGATGGCTGCCATCAAGGCAGTAGATGTACTACTCCGAAGCTCTGAATAGCAGAGCAATACATTTCTTGAGCTCGCTGACAATACGTTCTAGACTCTTCGGGGCTTATTTGACCTATTTATCGTAATCATGCTGCTTTGTTATCCGACTTGTTAGGGTACCTTGTCACAGTGCAATCACTAGAAACTGCAAAGCCGATTAGTTCAGTCTTATAGTCTCACCTAACCTTACCTAATCTAGGATATTTAATACTCATATTAAAACAATTATGTGTATTAAACTTTGTTTCCCATACATCCTTACGCATACCTTATAACCGGTTTTTGAAATCAGAATTTTTAATTAAAAGTTGCTGCGCCTAATTATTCTTCATTTAGTTGATCTGATATAACATTTGCTTTTGGAAAGATTTAGCTTAGATAGATCAAGTTGTTATATGTCTTCTTAGCAGTGAGCCAACCTGAGCGTATTTTTCAAACATTTTTGAATTTTCCACCTTTCATCAATTTGTAAAGTAACCCTATTTAATTATCAGTAAACATGTATAACAGTTTCATTACGATATCTCAAATTGAGATTCATATTACACTATTGAAACACCTTGTTTAGTTTTTGCAACAAAAAGTACTTAATGATGGATGAGCTGTCATTGACTGACCGCCCAGCCCTTCATATTTAACTCCCATTTATTTTTTCTTTGTGTGGCCATTTGAAAGTCTACGCTAGTAATCAGACCATTGCAAAAACAGAAAAAACTTAAAAGGCGGTTGTATTTCCTTTAAGTTCCTAAAGTATTACATACTTCAATAAAAGATCAGATACCGTATACATAAAAATTATACTATAAATCTTGAATGGAGAGGCAGGAATCATTAGAACAGGAGGTCATCTATTCATTATGATAAGACTATGCTGTTACAAACTTCCGTTATATGGACTAAGCATTTATATATAAGTATGTAACATATGTCATTTGGAATTTCACATTCTCTAAGAATGGACCAGTAAAAATCATTTTTCATTAAGTAAGCGCCCTCAGTTATGACACACACTTTGACCAAAGTCCTTCTTCTAATCTCCAAAGCACTTCAGATACAAATTCCATTCATGGATCTCTTCAGACCTAACTCCTACCTACCCTCTAATGATAAATTGATGAAACATTGCCTTGTTGAAACATCTTTTGTATCGTACTATCTAAATATAGTTATCTTGATGACGACACAACCATCTTAGACAATAGAATTAAATAAACGGCCAAATTTATTCATGATACCAGAGAATGTTAATGAATATTAATTTATATAGATTCTCTAATAATACTTTTCTAGCCTTATGGTGTTTAATTAATTTGGGCATTACTAGTAAAATATTCTCAGAGGGTTGGCAACCTTTTACTAACAGTTGATCCATAATTTGTTATTTACTAATCACTAAATGCCAACTAATACGATGATTATCATTTAGAGACAAGCATTTGTTTGGCCTCATTATATTCAAATAGAAATATAACTCAGTAAATTTGCTAATATCTTTGACAATTTATTAAACGCAGGACGAGTTATAAGTGTGTATATATGTACATATACATATAATATATGTATGCATGTAGTTACATTAATTATGATTTGAATAATATCATTGATATATATATAGATTTGATTACCATTACTTATAAAATGTTATTAAATTGATAAGGAGTGTGTAATATCGAATTTTCGTATTATTAGCTTAAATACTAGTGGATAAGAAGTACCTTGTCAAATATTACCCAAGTATGTCACTTACAAATTCTGCAAGATACATACATATATATATACATGCATATGTATATGTATGTATAAGAATATGTACAGATGATAACAGAACAAGAAAAACCGTTTACTTCGGTTGCACCGAAGCTATAATACCCTTCACAAATACAAAGGCCCCTTACATGAACTTGATTCCGAATGTTCAATTTGTATGGTAGCTATATGATATAGTGATCTGATCTGACCAATTTCTGAGGAGAATAATTTGTTGCCTTAAGCAAGAACTCGTGTCTAATTTTGTGAAGATACCTCGTCAAATAAAAAGATTTTCCATGCAAGCACTTTACTCCGATCGTTCTGTTAATATGGCAGCTATATGCCATAGTCATCCGATCTATACAATTTCTCCGGCGATTAGATTATTGCCTTAAATAATAATCCATGCCAAATTTCGTGAAGATTCGTCGTCAAATGAAAGAGTTTTCCATACAAGCACTTGATTCCGATTGTTCAGTTTGTATGGCAACTATACGCTATAGTGATTCGATCTATACAATTTCTTCGGAGATTGGATTAATGGCTTAAAGAATAATACGTGCCAAATTTCGTGAAGATATCTCATCAAATGAAAGAGTTTTCCATACAAACACTTGATTCCGATTGTTCAGTTTGTATGGCAGCTATATGCTATAGTGATCCGATCTATACAATTTCTTCGGAGATTGGATTAATGACTTAAAGAATAATACGTGCCAAATTTCATGAAGATACCTCGTCAAATGAAGGAGTTTTCCATACAAACACTTGATTCCGATTGTTCAGTTTGTATGGCAGCTATATGCTATAGTGGTCCGATATCGGTCGTTCCGACAAATGAGCAGCATCTTTGTTAGAAAAGGAGAGGTGCAAAATTTCAGATCGATAGCATAAAAACTGAGGACTAGTTGTATATATACAGACAGACGGACAGACGGACAGACAGACAGACGGACATGGCTAAATCAACTCAGCTCATCATGCTGATTATTTATGTATATATTTTATAAGGTCTCCGACGTTTCCTTCTGGGTGTTACAAACTTCGTGGCAAACTTAGGGTATATTAATATTCAGGGTATAAAAATAAACCAAGAAGAACAGTTATTAGGTGTAGTAAAATGAAATCCATTATTTTTTCATGAAATTGAAGGCTTTAATAACCATAGTTAAAATGATCTGATTTAGGTCAAATATGCGCCGTATTGTTCGATAACTTTTTGCCATTTTAAGGGTAATTTCATTATGCCTCTCTTATAGAAGCCTTCGTTCTTATTGGCAAAAAATTGAAATTTTCACAAGCCTCTCTTGAAGCGAATTTTTCACCAGCAAAATTGTTCGCCATGAACAGGAACAGATGATAATCACTAGGTGCTAGGTCCGGACTATAAGGTGGATGCATAAGAACTTCCCAACCAAGCTCCCGGAGCTTCTGGCGAGTCCCTATCAATGTTTGTGGCTTGGCGTTGTCCTGATGGAACACAATTCCTCTCCTATTGGCCAAAGTTGGCCGCTTCTGGGCGATTGCTTCCTTCAGACGGTCCAATTGTTGACAGTGCAGTTCCGAGTTAAGAGTTTTCGCTTGACGTTGTCATAAGTGATCCACTTTTCATCGCCAGTCACCAACCGCTTCAAAAATTGGTCGATTTTGATTAGCTGTTACAGTATCAATACCATAAGCGCTATTCACATTTTCAGCCGCCCGGCTTGCGTTTTCATCCTTATAGAAGTAAAGCTGTAAAATATAGCGTATTTTCTCTTTGTTAGTGTCCATCTTTGACGCACGCTCAAACAAAACTGAATCAACCAATCCCAAAACTGTCAGAAAAGCTTTTTTAGTACGAAATGTCGTCTTTCTAACGCCATCTAGCGGAACCCGATCGGACTTATACAATTCCATCTATTGGAAAAATAATGGATCTCTTTTTACTACACCTAATATACATACATACAAGTATATTATGATTAGAAAACGAACAAGAATTTTATAAATAATTTACATATTATCTCATCAAGTAAATCTATAGTTGCTTTAATAGCGTTAAATTGTGGTTATAAGATAGTTTTCGCTGCTTAATAATAAAGGGATCAGAGCTTAAAAGCAATATGTTCATTAATGCTGTATTTGATGCGACTCGTGAAATTTTCGGTGCATGTTGTAATCGGAACATCAAATCATGCTGTAAAATTTTATGCACCGATAGAGGGAATTAAAACTAGGGATATTTGCCAACCAGCTACTTTGTGGTTCAAGTGCATAATCTCCAAATTTTGCTGAATTAATCTTGTAATCCGAAGATATGGCTTGCAACAAAGTTGAGGCTCCGAGTCTTAAATCTATATCAATTTCCGTAATATCGGCTGATATTTCAGCATTATTGAAAACCACAAAATTAATGGAGGAATCAAGGGGGGAGCACAACTGAAACTTTATGTGAAAATATTTAAGACGCACATAATAACATGCACATGCATAAAATACAGGGAAAACTAAAGTATCGATTTAAAAATGACTACTTAGTTTTTGTTCATTTTGTAACATAAAATTAATAGCTTTAACTTAAAAATCCATTAAAAAGAATTTATATTTGTTTATTTTAAGTGTCATTCAAATATGAAAATTCCTAAAATCGTAATTTGCATTATATGTGAATGTGTTTATCACAAAGGGGACTTCAACAGATTTAGAAAAGGTTTTTACGTGGGTAAGCGATTGATTGTGTGTCCGGATCATGGTGATGTAAACATAACCTCATCCGACCACACCACGCTGGATGAAAACTCAAAAAAAAATAATAGCATATACATTTAAAACAGCACGAAAAAGAAGATCTTAAGTTATGTTTGAGCAGCAGTGTAATGTCAGATACATCAAGCTCACAAGATCTTCTTAATAAAACAGTGAGAAACAATGAGGATGAACAGATCCTGAATGCCAAGGTTGAAATTCAACTGCTACGTGATTTAAATCAAGAATTGAAATCTAATAAGTAAGGAAGGGCTAAGTTCGGATGTAACCGAACATTTTATACTCTCGCAAAGTCAAATGGTATACTCGTTTGAGAT